ACCTATATCCTAACAAGTACCCGTGCCTTATTGCACTGAATTACTCTGCTGTTGAAAACAATGAATATTTTGGCAAAATGGTCTTAACTTTTTTCAGTGTTTCTACAACAGTTTGCCCTGAAACCTCTTACAGAAATATTTATCAGTTTTTTGTAGCCAGAACCCAGATTATTTGGTACATACTTTCTGCAAATTTGGATTAGAATAAATTTAAAGGGTTGGTTACCTTTTTGGTGGGAATCTTAGTTAATTTTTTTAAATTATAAAAATAAAATATTGGTCAATTTTTAATATTGCAAAATAGGAAAAATTAGTTTCTATTTACTTCATGACTCCCTTCTGTTTGTTTTGAGACAAAGATCACCTTTTTGGCTGGACAGATGAAAATGGTATCATTCCTATTGAAACTGATACACAGTTAAACCAAAGAATAGTAAATTAAAATGCATTAATGTCTTCTGAAGGATTTACATATTTAAGGAAAAGTAAGCAGAGCAAGATGTCCTTGGAATTGTTATTTCCACGTAGAGCCAATCTTATAAGTGCCTGTTGCATGGATGCAGGTAGAATTACATGGACTAATATTTATGTTCACCTTCATGAGACTTTATACATGTGAAAAATTACTTGTTTGTAAGTGTTTTCAGAATCTCCATTTTGCAAGTTTGTACATGAAAAGGTCCTTGTTTCTAACCCCAAATTAGAGAAAGTATATACTGAAAAGCAACATTCAGCATTCCAGGAATATTGTTCTGCTTTTTACTTGGGATATCTGATTATTGGATTGAGATTGGTAACTTTCTGATAAGCACAGTGACTGTGTTAGTGACCAAGTGCTTTCTCCCTTCCTCCAGCTTCAGTCTCTGTGGCCGAGCTTTGCAGCCTCGGGCTGAGCTGCTTGAGGCTGGTACTCCTGAACTGTAAATGTCCAGCTAAGATACGGTATTAGAAGTCACTATAGAATAACAAAATTCTGTGGAATAATCAGAAGATAAAAAACTCTGCCTGCTGGGAAGCCTCTTTGATGCACACGTCTATTAGGCAGTTTCAAAAATAATAAGCATCACCTGCAGCAACCAGGGATTATAGACATTTGCTGTGGTTCTAGAAAGGAAGGAACTGCAAAGCCAAAATGTGGAGAAGTGAATGAAAGGAGATAAACAGAGGGGTCATGTTGGTGATACAGAATTTATACTCGTATTTATACCGAACTTACACTTTCTTTGCATGAAATAGAATAACCTGTGAGGATTTAAAGGTACAAAGGGTTCGCGTCTGTGTCCCTGACTGTTAACGGAAGAAATTTATTTCCTCGAGGGGGAGGGTCTGAGTTAGTATTTCTTATCGGACACATTAGAAAAATGAGTTTACTCTTTTTCTGAAATGGAGTGAAACAATTTGGAGCTGATTTTACATAACAACTTTTTCATCTCCCTACTTATCTATGGAGTAAAGACGTTTCTCCCTATATTCGAATAATATGCCTTCTTTCTTATCAGTGGCATTTAAAAAGAGAAAGAGGAAGGTTTTCTGTCCCAAAACAATAAAACGAGGGTTGAAAACTAGCAGACCTCAGGAATAGCTAAGTTTCTTGCAACAGGTATATTTGTTCTCTTTTAGCAGCAGACAGCCTCAAAGAATGCCTGAAATGTACAATGTGTTGGGAACAGAGAGGCAGTATCTCCGAATAAAGGAAGAAATGAATGGAATAAAAGATTAGGGGAGAGAGAGACAGAGACAGAGACAACTTGAACACATACATAAAATCCCTTCTGGAGGCCCTTATCTAATTGCCTCATTTATCTAGTTTCATTTATAAGCTCAGTTTTATTCTGGGACACTCTCGGAGGTTGTGTGAGAATGGCTGCAGAATGACCTAACTGGCAACGGGCTTTCTACAGACCCTTTTTTTTTTTTTTTTGTATGCCAATTCTCAGGGCAATTACTGCAGTTGCCCTTTTTATATTAGCATCTTGGGTGGCTAGGCCGGGGGTTTACTCACTCTTTTTAATAGTATAATTTCTTTTGATAAATAAGCCGCTAGGATTTTTTGTGTCTTTTTTTTTTTTTTTTGAGAATACTTCTTTTCCACTGGGACTTCCTATGTACCCATGTGGGCTTAACGCAGATCCTTGCTTTCACATGATATAAAAGATAATTTAAAAATGAAGCAAAACACTTTACACAAACTATCTCCCCTCTCCCTCTAATCTTCTCCTAGATTACTTCTTAGTTTTGAAGTATTGGTGGGATGACTCAAACAAATTTTTTTTTAATAAAATAATAAACTGAATTATTTTGCTTAAATTTTGAAAGCGATTTTCTGGGTGCAGCACAGCAGATGTGAGTTTTTTGCCATTGATTTGAATGAGGCCTAGATTTAATTTTTAGCTTTCGCTGGAGTTTTATTGTCTGATTTCACCAGTACACTAAATTGTCTTTATGATTAAGATCAAAACTCTAAGATCATTGTTGTCCCTTCTCTACATGACTATGGCATATATGTTACTGGGGATCTTCAATTTAGGCACCATCCGTGGTCTTTTTTTGTCTCCAGGAACTAAGCAGTGAGAAAAGAACTATCATATCTTCCCAGCTGGTTGTTGAAAAGAATGCGTCGCAGTGGAGTTAGAGTTGGGTTTATTTTTAAATATATTTCGTTAAAGAAAGTGTTGAAGATGTTATCTCTGTCAGATAGTTAAATGTTGCTAAAATACTTCAGCGACTTTCTTGCTTTGCCGATTATGAAGAGTGTAATAAAACTGCGCTATTTGACAGATTTAGACAGCTGGCTCATTCATGAGAGGTTCACATTTTTGTCACCCACGTTGAATAAGGAAAGATTAGATGCTAAGGTCAATTTACAAAAATGGTTGTCAGGACATTTTTTAATTGTAAAACTTTTTGTGATGGAATTCAGGGAAAAGACTAAAGGCAGAAAGCAGCGGAGACAAAGAGCTGCTATTAACCTACAGATGCTACCGCAGGGTTCATTTTAAGATTGGTCACACTGCTTAGCCAATGAAGTGTTCGTGTGACTATAAGGGACCACCCTTTTCTGGGGTGAGAGGGCAATTTGGTCTTCATGCTCATTTAATCCCAAGACGTCTTTCAATGGACTGTCAGTTGAATCTACATTGTGCAAAATTATGCATGCACTTTTTAATGCAGACCATTGTTCGCTGAGCACTTAACCAAGATTTCTCAACCAATTTCCATTTGGCATGAGGTCACTCGAAACCCAGGCAAACATATATGGAGGGCAAATGTAATTTTCTGTTCCTCTGAGCTGGAGTGCATAAGACAGAGAAATGCCAGCATCAGTCATGCTGCACTTTCAGATTTAATACTTACTAAATGAAGACTGACAACTTTCTATAAAGGAAAATTCGTTGCATGTCACTGCCCTGGAGATGTAATTTTGCTACTGGAGAATAATATGCCTCAAGTCTTTTAGATCTTACTGCCTAAAGTGGTGTAAAATGTTGATGCATGAGCAACTGCTTACAAGAACCATAGGATGTGCATGCTGTGGGGCTACTCTGCTTTCTTTTCATAGGCAAGGTTTTGTAAAAGCCAGGTAGTGCAAAGGGAATCTGATAGTCGGTGAGCAGTGAGCAAAGAAACTGCCAATAAGACCCAAGAGCTGGAGGTAAGAGGGCACCAGTTCTGAAGATACGTCTAATTAGACTATTAATACTTTAGAAAACCTGACTATAGCATGTACACCGTATTTATTGATACATTTACAAAGACTCCATTTTATGTTAGCTCTTCAAGGAACATTTACATTGAGAACTGCATTTGGCAAGAATCGTTATACGTTTTGTACACGTGACATCTTACACAGCCAACACGTGCTCATGTGAGCTCTCGTCCAGGGACGTTCCGTTCAGTGTGAAATCATCAGCAGTCTACTCGTGTATAGTCTGGCTCGTCCTGTTACAGTGAAAATCACTTTATGAACACTTTTAACATATGCTGGAATTTTATTATGATTGGCTGGTGGTTGGTTTTTTCATCCGTCGTAAATGAATACAAGTTGACACAAGGATACATTTCTAGATTAGATCCACAACACATTAAAGAGTGTGTTTGCTCTCTCTTTCCCCGTCTTTCCAATTAAGTTGGTGAAAAATGTAACTTAGCATTTTACAGGACATGGTAAAGCTGTCTCATCTAGGTGATGTCTATATTATAAAAATAAAATAAAATAATATAAATATGTAACATGAACCCAGTGCCCATCGTTAAATAAAATATATGATAAAAAGCAGACCACCTAGGATGACTGGTTTTGAAATATGCGAATATAATTTAATTATTAAACACTTGAGACAATCTTGATATCAAGCTGCGGTAACCAGATTTTTGCATCTACGCTAGATAAGGAAATGCGTAACATTCTGTAATAGAGTTACAATGATGAAGGTGAAGGTTATAGTCTTACAATGAATTGCCTAGATAGGAATGCATTAAGGAGTTCTGAAATATTGTCTCATGATGTAGTTCAGTTCACCTTAGAAACTGTTACAACTGGATTTTATTAGGTCCAGCAGTTTATACAGCGATGTTTGAAAACTGCTCTCTTATTGCTATGATCAGATAGGTACAGCCATGAGATTTCTGGGATGTCAAAGAATCCATTAAGACATCACGAAAGTCCTTTGACGAAAATGTGGTTTACAGTGGAATTACTTTGTAAACTATTTCTTGTGAAGAAATAAATATTAAAAAAAATTCCACTAGCTGTAAAACCGTATTTGTGATAGTGCGTGCATGTGTATGTGTGCTCGTATTGGATAGCGGTACGCCTGTGGAGGCGTACAGGAATATTTACACACATACAAAGAATTTATCTGCACATTTGTGGATATTATACTTAAATTAATAAAGTAAATCAAATCACTGGTATTTGTTGCAGGATAACAGTCTTTTAAAAATGACAGGATTCAAAACAAATGCCCGTTGAAAGTGTAGCTTCCAAATAGTCCCAGAAACTATACAATATAGCTGGTTAGATCCAGCAAATAGGATGTCATGTCTAGGATCTGATCAAGAATACCTGCCCTTGTCACTCTTCGGATGTTTCTATCCACTTGTTCACACTGGGGGCCGAGATAGCCTTTTTTACATAAGCATTTATTAGGCCTTACACAGACACCTCCATGTCGACAGGCTGGGTCACATTTTGCTGCAGGGAAAAAAACAGCAATTTTCTGATTTGTTTAGAACCTCACAAACCAAAAAGATACAGTACACATTCATTAAGAGCTTTTCTAAACTTAAAATTATAAAGCATATATATTCAAAACAAAATATTAGAAGTTTTGAAACCATATGTTTTAAATTTTTAGAATATTAAGGGGAGGAAGTAATTTTGTACGTCTGAGAGGACATTGCCCAGGACAGACTATGAAACTCAAATAGCAGATTTTTGAAAATGTCCCATTTCAAGCATATTCAGGCTTGATTTTGGAGTGCATAGAAGACCCGTCTCAAAAGACTTTAGGCTCCAAATGTCTTACCATTTGAAAACAAGACATACAGCACATCTAGGTCTTTAAAGAGTGGTGGGCTACCTCATCCCATATCTTATGCTGGCAACCCAAAATCACCCTGAAGCACGTGGCCATCTCCAAGCTAGCAAGTACTGAGTCTCAGGTAAGCTCCTTTGTACGCACAGAGTTCTGCACTACACACTTCCCTTAGAAGAGCAGTCTACAACTGACCACGGAGATGCACTCCTTTGGCTTTTGAATCACTTATGCTTGCAACAAAATTGAGTTCCCTTTAGAAAAAAAAATGACGGGTATTTTTTCAACAGCTTTTATCAGTTAGTTGAGTTTCAAAGTTTTTCCCTCTCTCTTTAGCAGACGCCTGATGATTTACCTATAGAGTTCTAGGTTAATCAGCTTGCTTAAGTTTTTCAACTATAAATGCTATTTTAAGTTGTAGTCAGTGTTAGCAAAACTATCAATAACTTAGTTGTGGAAGTATTTTCTTCTGGGGTAGAGTCACAGCACTGTGATAAATATGTATCTTTTTTTTTTTTGCAGACATTTTGCTGCTTAATGTTGTCTGTTACGATAAAGCTATAGTATTGACTTACAGAGATTTTTAATACGCTATATAAAAACAGGTTTCTTGATTTTATTCAGGAATTTCCTAATTACCCTAGGAAGAAACTGATGCCTCATAAGGTTATTATAATAGGAGCTTGAGGTCCAACCTAGACCATCTCCTTGAAGTGCTGCGTGGGATACAGGGAAGAAAGATCCTTAGTCTACAGGTTTTCTGTAGCTTTCTTGTCTATTTTATCTATTAAATTATCTATCACAGAGCTGTAATTTTTGAAACTAAACAAGGTTATTCAAGACCCATTTATGTTCACACTGGAAATTTTTTTGACTTTAACTTCCACTTGGACATGGGCTGTAGAATGGGCCTCATTCTCCAAATGTAGGAAATCTCTGACTGACAAGTGAGGACAATTGCAGTTGGGCTATTTGGCCAGACTACCTCATCCATTTCCCCAACCTGCTTTTGTTGTATGGCTGTATGATGGTCAGCTCTGGAATCTTGCAAGTGAGATATATCATTAGTGATTTCATTCATTTCATTGAATTCCAAACAAAGTCACTCCTGCTCATCACCAAAACTCGCTGAGCAGATACGCTCTGGCAGAAGGCTGCGCTCATGCACTAGTAACACCTCCTGGTACCCAGGCTTGCTCTGGAAGATCTGCCCAGGCCAGAGTTACACAGCTCAGACATGACCACAGCCTCTGTGAGATGGTGATAGCACAGCCATGGCACTCCAGGTTCATTCATCTTGCCCCTTTGGTGGCATACCCAACATCTGGTTTGATCACAGTCACTTTTTCAAGTGGCTTTTAAAAGATATGCTACAGCAACAAGATAGACTTAATAAAAGTACTGTGATTAATAACGGATTACAATATCGTTCTGATTATTAGCTGCTTTGCGGTAAGTTGTACGTAAAATTCTCTTTAACAAACTGGAGCCATTTTATCTTGTAGGATCAAAAGTAAGAATATACCAAAACTAAGGTATTTGCATTAAATTAGCAAAGTGCAAAATATGCAATAGTGACCTGTAGGTCTGATTTATCATCTTTCCTGACAAGATACTCATATTTGGCACTGACAGTGATAATACTGCAGGTAGAAGCTGCGTGTCCAAAGATGGAACGTCGATTGATTGCATTTCCTTTCATTTTACAATCTTGGTGAAAAAATAAGAATACGTTGGCTGTCATATTTATGCTATAAGTTGCATTCTGTAATGGTTCACATTGCATTAGACGTTTCAACTGTTGCAATCTTCTAAAGACTTACTGTTCCCCTACAATTCATGAGATCAGTATTTCTTTAATGTTATCTTAGAACTGATGGAACATATATTGAAAATTTCTCTCAGCAAATAGTTAAAAGCAAATTATGACACGTCACTGCTTTTTTCACTTGTTGCTAGGAATCTATATACAAACCAGTTCTGCAGAACTCTCCTTCCCAGCCTTGATTACAGCAGCATTTTCCTGTGGGAGTGCAGTGCCCGTTTCGACAATGCCTTGAGCATTCAGATGTCAGTATCTGTGCGGACTGAGCTGTTCTTTTGCATTCTTCAGGGACTAAAGGCCTAAATAAAAATATATGAACCAAGCAGATAGTTAAAAGTCAGGGTCAAGGAGAAAAATTCTGGTTTTTTTATTAAAGGCCTGATTCTCTTTTATGGTATTATCAGTGGGAGAAATCTGTGTTCTAAGGGGATTGCTTTTTTTTCTCAAAAACACCAGTAAACTTAGAGATGATATGTTACGTTACAGAAAAATGCAGTGTGATTTGCTATTCTTTCATGTAACTGCCTTAGAGATCTTCTACAAGATTAAATAACAGTCTTGAGAATTCCTAAAGCGTGAACCTGGCAAAACCAGCTTGCTAAAGACCTTATCGCAGGCAGCATATATCTCTAGATAATATCATTATTAGACGTGCTAAATTCTACTGATTGTGTGGCTTTTCTTCAGAGAGCGTAAATAGTCATGTACTTCAGTCGAGAATCTGACGGTGTCTTTTTGCTTTTCTAGCCGATTTATACTTCTCATTGTACACTGTGAAGAGTAATCTGAACAGCAAGTTTTATGTCATACATTATGGCATGCGTAATAATTTTACCTCTGTCTACAAATTCAGTTTGACATTGCAGATTTTTTATTTCCGTACTTCCGTGAAATCATAATTGGTTTCTGTATTCCGGATGCTTATTTAAGCATCTGAACATCAGGAAAGACTTTTTCACTATGAGGGTGCCCAAGCCCTGGCACAGGTTGCCCAGAGAGGCTGTGGAGTCTCCATCCTTGGAGATACTCAGAGGCTGTCTGGGCCCGGTCCTGGGCAGCTGGCTCTGGGTGGCCCTGCTTGAGCACGGGGGCTTGGACCAAGTGCCCTCCAGAGGTCCCTTCCCGCCTCAGCCGTTCTGTGGGTGATTCTGTGAAATGTATGCATGAAGGAAATTCTAGTTCAGCTGACTTAAAATATTTCTGATACTGTTCTTTTGTTGGGCTTCTTTGTGTCAAATCTTAGGTAATGCAATTTTTTTTTCAGTCTCTACAAAATATTTTTGATGTCCAGTAGCCTTTTTTATTTACAAAAGCACAGCATTATCTTCCTTAGGAAAGAAGGAACTGTAGTGTTCCTTCTGTAGCGTCAAGTGTGTAAAATGCTCAAGTGTTTTAAATTAAGTGTGCCCTAACTGTTGATACAACTTCCAATGCTTTTTTAGATGTTTATTGTGTTGTGTTTTTTTTTTTTTAGCTCTATGTCATCGTGCTGACCACTTATTTTATTTGCTGTCTGAATTCAGCAGCTAGAGACTGACAGGCTCATCACAAGGCTACAGGTTCTCAGTACAGGTACTGTGGGTTGTCTCTTCTGTGGGTTTGATTGCACAGGAACAACTTGAGAAGAGTGTCAGGGTCTCCCAAGAGTTATAAACAAGCAATTGAATGGGAGCATAATGGCAAATTAAGGTAATTAATAACAAATACAAAATTTTGCATTCTTAAGGAAATAATTTGAACTAATATCATACATTCCTAAGCTTGAAATTTGCATAACAAAGATTCTAATAATTTTGTGGAGAGCTCAGAGAAACCTTGGCTAAGTGTCCAGCTAGAATCCAAACAAACCAAACCAAAATTGTATGAGATAGAATAGAATAGAAAATTACATTGTTTATTATACTGATATCGGTATTAAACCCCCAATGATATGCCAGTAGCTGGAATAGCAACCTCTGCACTGATTACCCCATCAAATATTAAAATTGTAGCTTGATACTCCTGCATGGAGAAAAGGATAGTCTGAGAAAGAAGGGGTACGATAGAGGTGTGGAAAACAGTGGCAGACAAAGAGAGGAGGAAAACTGGGCGTTCTTGTTTATCTCCCATGTCAACATCAGAAGAAATATCAAGGAAAAAATTAAGCTAAGGAAAATAAAATAATAGTTGAACTCATGGCTTCTAAGAGATCAATGAACCCCATGTTGTAGTAGGATTTTAAAAAGATATTTCTTCTGCACAATGGGGCCATTCAAAGTAACATTAGATAGGGTAAAAATATTTTTTAAGAAAAATAAGTACTCATACCTAATCTCATAGAAGTCCCCACTAGCTGACTGGGCTTACATTCCTCCCCCCTATCCCCCCCTCCCCGTTTTGGCATGCAGCTTGTTAATGGTACATTACAGGGTTTCTTGCATTTTTCTTTGAAACAGGGTAATAGAGTACAGGCTGACTGGTTTGCTTCACCGTCGCACTTTCTCTGCACAGTCTTAATTGCTACCATGATTATTTAAACATCCATACAGAAGAACTGTTTCCCCAAAGATCTTAAAGACAGAAAGAATGTGTAGATGCATCTTTAGTGTAGCACCAAGTTCTGATTTCAAAAGCACTCTGAGAATCAGACTTAAGGTCCTGTATTATTTAAGGGCTTTGAAACGTGTTTTGACACCTTTTGTGCAGCATATTTGAAACCCTTTCAGGTTTTGTGTTTACATATTTCCACAGCTGTCTTTTAAATATAATGCATTATTTTTTTGACCTGTAAGGAATTCCAGTTCTGTAGTAATGAGTGCATTACGTATGATCTGGTTAAGAAAGTTCCTACACTTAAAAATTATACACGAGATCCACAGGCAATGCTATTTTTAAAACAGTTCTACAAAGTGATACGATTTTCAGTGGAGACTTGTTCAGATTTAAAGTAAAAAGGTCTGTTTTCTAATTCCTACCTCTGAAAATCAAAATCTAAATTTGAGTTGATTTCTTTATAGCCAACTGCGTAGAAGACAACATTCTTTCTTCTTCTGTCTCTGTTAAAGCCCATTTCTTTCAAGTTACTTTAAATGGGAGTCTTCTCTTTCACTTGCTCAAACACAAGTACAGTACTGTTTTTAGCAGCAAGCATAACCTCAGGCTCCTGGAGCATCTCTTGGAAAAGAGCTCCAGCGACATATCTTTAGCAAAGAATGACCTCATAAGCCATAGAGATATTTTATTTGTGAAGATAATGATTTATTGTATTAATAGATGTAAAATATTTATCTATGATAGTCCTGGAATATATGGTTCTTTTTTTGTTTGTATTTAATTAGGGAGGAAGAAATCATACTTTTTTTCTATCCGGCAAAGCATGGCTGGTCACTTTTATGATTTAAAGTTTTCTAGTGCTCATGGCACTTGTGAATATAACCTTGCTTTTTATTTTACCATCAATCAATAACTTGCACTCATCAGCCTCGGATAATATTTATTAATGGTGGGGTGGAGTAGAAACAAAGATGGAAAAAATTCTGGTTGGCAGCGTGCCTTAGGAGAAGAGGAATACAAATGCAGCTGCAGCAGAATCCTTCTCATGTGTGAGAAGAATTACTGGGTTCCCTCAGTTGTACTATGGGAGAAGCCACGCTTCTTTCTCAGGATTTGAATGCTGTTACGGTACCAACATGTATCAAGAGAAGGTCTCTGCCCCACAACGCTTACACTTGGCATTCTTAAGCCTTTAAAGGGGTGGAGATTTTTAGGCTCAGCGTTAGTTGAACTGAATCTCGCAAAGATAACATAAGTCTTGAAACTGACTGTTGGGACTTGATCTTTCCAGCACTTAGACAAGCCTGTGATTTTGTTTATATAACTAGTGCTTTGCTGTGTCTCTTGACGTGGAAAATCGAGGGGAATAGATGGAGCCACACTGTGGGCTGGAGAGAATTTTTTTTCCTTGTCTCCCTCAATCTATAAAACTCTGAAGGGTACAGCCTGATTACTCTTACAGTAAGCACTATTTGGTCCGCAGAAAGTCAGCCAAAAATGTAGCTGATAATGACTATTTATATGGTCTGTACAATTCTAGTTATCTTAAAGAGCTGTTCATATATACAGTACAGTACAGTATATCATGCTTCTTAAAACAGGCTTTCATGAAACTGTGTAACAACTCGAAATGTATGGAACATGGAGGAAAAGTTGTACGGGGGGCTGGGGCCCTCGCTGGGTCCCTTTTGCTGACGTGTGCAGTGAGCTGGGAATTCTTGACTGTACAATGTGTAAAATAATTTTTGCTGCCTTACTATAGCTAGTATGAGAAAGTAGCCTCTACTTTTAGTTTAGAGGCATATAAAAGTCTAACATGCTTTGATAGATTAAAACTCATCCTGGAACTGCTTAGGATTTCATGCTTTCTTTAGTGTATCTCTCCACAGTTGCACTAATGCACAGAGTGATTTGGTTGCTATATGCGCTAGCCTGTAGCTCAGGCATACATAAATCAATGCAAATGGAGGGTCAAATTCAGCAGTAATACAATGGTACTGGGCAGAAAACAACTCTGCCATCGTGCCTTTGACACAATATCAAAAATCTCTACTTTCCCACTAAAGTGAGAAAAAACCCAAACAAAATTCCTGCATGTTCAGATTCAAACAAGAGACACAGCCATAGAAATCCTGGTTGTGGTACAAAATATATGGAAAGAATGTTATGCTTCAATTAACTGCACACAAGATACTAGGTATTAGAATGATGCTTAAATCACCAAATTTTGTGCATTAGTTGTTTGCTGTTTTTCCTTTCTAAGGAAAAATGTCAAGAAAAAATAGTTCTGTTTCACTACTTGTCATAGACTAAATTTGCTACTCATCATAGAATAAATACAGCATCTCTTCAGGTACAGCTTCTAAAATTAAAAAGTATACCTTTAGTCCTGGGAGAGATGCCAAAAGCTCGTTACTTGTCTCCAGATTTACTACATGGGAATAATGTGGAAAAAACTCACGGCTTTTAAGATTTAAACTCAGCAGCATATCAAATTTATTCTTATATGGTATACTTGTTCATGACCTCTAGTCTTAAGAAATTCTGTCATGTTTGAAAACTAGTCCCTAGTGAAGCCTGTATCAATGTTAATAGCTAAGAGGTCAATGCAACTGCTAAACAGTTTGTATTACTGTCAGGGTGGTCATGAAAACAACACCTGCTGCATGAGCACTTGGCAGCTGGGTCAACAGGCACTGTGGGAATTTATCAATTTAGGGGGCCACTTGCATAACACTTTGACTGATGAATTGGGAAAGACTGGCTT